TGACACATGGTGCTTTCTTTTTTAAAAAATTTTAGTTTTTAAAAGTTAGTATCTATACCCAACATAGGGCTCAAACTCACAACCCAAGATCAAGAGTCATGTGCTCTACTGACTGAGACAGCTAGGTAACCCTGATGTTTTCTATTTGATTCAATTTCATTTTCATTTTTAATGCTGGTTGTGATTCATTAAACTGACTTTTCCATCTTCAAAGGGTCCAAATAGAGACTACTGCGGCTTCATTTGTACCTTCTCTCTCCAACTTGTTATATTCCAGTCACTGTGTGTTTCTTTCAGTTTCATTAGGGTGCTAGGTCCTTCCTGCCCCAGTGCTTCTGTGCATGCTGGTCCCTCAACCATGAACACTCAACATGTCTCTGTGCTCTTTGGTCTCCTAATCTTTTCCTTAACACATATTCCAGGTCTCAATTTAACTGTTACTCCCTCCAGGGTCACACTCTCACAATATCCTTGCTCTTCCCTCATAGCCTCTAGCAAAACTGAGGAAGTGACTCTCTGAGTGAGCAGTGTTTGCCCTGCCACAGGCTCAGCCCTGCCCTCCCCTCTCCTCTCCTCTCCTCTCCACTCCTCCCATACCCCCACCCCTCCCACCCCCCACCTTTCTCTAAACTCCCTGAAGGTGGAAACTGTTTCCGTTTTGTTCACCCAGTAATTGCTCTGGTGCCTAGCACTGTCTAGCACATTTATTGAAAGATAAACAATCTCTGCCCTTGAGGAACTTACAGTCTAGGAAGGGAGCAATATGTAGTACGCCAACAGATTTGGGGGTGAAAGATCTGTTTTGAATTTTTCTTAAAAGCCTCTCTGTTAAAGCTCCCATGGGACTCTACCTTCTCTGCACACAAAAGGTGAGTGAAATTAGCAAAGGAGTTACATCAAGCTGAATGCAACACTATGACACAAATTAAAAAACTTCAGTAGTCAACAGTGACACTTCTCACAAGTTCTTCATCCTAGACTTCTACCAAATTCTGCTCTAATATAAAGAAGACTATATGAGAGGCACAACTTTTAAAGTTCCCAACTTTTATGGGGAAGGTTTACGGAAGGATACTTTATAACAATGGTATTTTTTTACATATGTCTAAAGATAACTCCTTAGAAAATACTTAGGGGCCTATTCTTTCAAAGACAAACTTAATTATTGCTACTTCAAGTATCATGAGCAGAGAAAAAGAGGACATGACAACATAATCACCATTTGAAACAAGAAAGGAAATTATGAAATAAAGCGTTCTAGTATGCATGTAGCTCAATTTTTTTTTTCTTGAGAAAGGCAGAGTAAAGTTTTTATAAATACTGAGTTGTATTGATCTGAATAAAGAACTCTTATTACTTTATTACCTTTGGATACTTTCCATTTTCTAAGACCCACTGCATAAATATTATTCCATTTAGAGTGACACACATTATTTCCATGGAAGTACATGATGGGGTAAACAAACAAACTAGGTTTGTCTCAAACTCTTTTCCAAGAGGTGCCAAAACCAAGTATCTTCAGGATTTGCAATTCTAAAATGCTGAAGAAAGGGTGTGCCCAACATAAAAAAATAAGGTCACTAACAGGTCATATGTTAAAAGAAATCCTTCAAATTCTCAAAGGTCTGAGTTTTTAAAATCTTTTAAAGTTAAAACAATTTTAAACTACTTCGATTCAGTTACTACACACCTTCCTTCCCATCTGAAGAAAGGAAAAAGAAACAGGCCTCAACAAAAAGTATCCCAACAATTCAAATAGCTTCAGAGATTTAGAAAAGCCAACAGCTTTGCCATCTCAAACATCTCTGTTGAGTTTCTTCGGTTCTGCACACAGTATGGCCGGGACAGGAAGCTATTTCTCTCCCAAACAAACTACTTAGAGTGTCTTATTAAAAAGATTAACTTGCACGCAGACAGCGGTCTCAATCATTCACAAAAATAAGTACCTGGGCTGTTCCTAGTAAAAATGCAGAGTTAAGGGCTCTATCCAAAGAGGGTCTGATGGGAGCCCCTGCAAAGTACATTTTAAATAAGTAACTCCGGCAGCTTCTGACACAGGTGGTCCTCCTCCCAGAACCAGAAAGAACCTGTATAGAAGGCTCATCTGCCTCACTTGCAGCAAGGACTAAGACGGATGGAATATTTCTAACATAATGGCTTAGGTTCCCACCGGGAAAACCCAGGGACAAAGGACCTCCTTTCTAACTGTGCTTCACTCACACTAGACCTCAGATTTGTAACAGTATGGTCTTTTCCACAAGAACCTTACACTAGACAGCAAACATGATGTTACACCTCCAATGAAGACTCAGAACCAGATGGAGCAGCCCAAGGTTATCTTGGTTATAAAGGCCCAGGATGCATTTTGTTCTGAGGATTCCAAAGACCCCCAAACCAGCCTGACTTGGAACTTCTGCTAAAGGTCTCTGGTGATAACTTATAGAAGGCAGAGATCTTTGTTTTTGATTCCTCTGACAGTCTGACACAGCACTGAATAGATAGATACAAGGCACTGGTGCCTCTGTTAGGATGTGCAGGGAAAGGGAATTTTGATCTGGTTCCCATCTGATAAAAGAATGCCAATGAGAGTGGTTGCAGAGGAAAAAGTTGAAATTGCTGTTAAATTGTATTAGGTATTACTTAGAAATTTTATGCTAATTTCTTTTTATAAATAGATAAAGCTGGATTTAAAGTTGCAATCCCTTCCAGTGTCCACTACGGTAGGCTCTTTGTGGATCAGGTAGAACCTCTCTATCAGAAAAGGAAACTCTCAATTCATTTCATGTTAGAATTCTGTGGAAAATCACTACGGACAGAGTAATTTGCAGCTTAGTTCATTCATCATCAGTCTCAGAGTGCTTTACTAAGGAAGCGCCCAAATAATCTTTTTTTTTTTTAATTTTTTTTTTTAACGTTTATTTATTTTTGAGACAGAGAGAGACAGAGCATGAATGGGGGAGGGTCAGAGAGAGGGAGACACAGAATCCGAAACAGGCTCCAGGCTCTGAGCTGTCAGCACAGAGCCCGACGCGGGGCTCGAACTCACGGATGGTGAGATCATGACCTGAGCCGAAGTCAGCCACTTAACCGACTGAGCCACCCAGGCGCCCCCCAAATAATCTTTTTAAGTGATGTAACAATATCCTCCAAACTATTCAATGGACTTTGCAAACATGGATTCTAGCAACATGGAAAATGACCATGAAACATCATTCTCATTTTGCACTATAAAAAATGAAAAGACTAACAGATTAAGTTGGTATAGTGAAGAGTATGGGCTTTGCAGTCGTGCAGATACGGAGTTCAAATTTCAACTACACCACTGGCAAGTTGTGTGAATCTAGGTAAGTTACTTCTTCAATCTCCATTTTCCTCATATGTAAAATTGAAAACATGGTACCAACTTCACCATCATTTGAAAACGTGACAATGTAAATAAACTACTCAATTGAGGTTGACTAGTTCACCCCAAACACTATGTAAATGGTAGCTGATGTTATTATTAGAAATACCTACATTTCTAGATCAGAAAAAAAAAGTTCTAATCCTAAGTGCCAGTCTAAAATTATCAACCAAACTTTTCCAAACCAAGAATATATTTTTTTCCAAGAATATATTTTTTATATTTTTGTAAATTTCAGGAGCCTTTCAGTTCCTACCCCCAAACAGGTTTTCCTCCTTTGATAAAGCCCCACTACTTTCCCACCTCCTTACCACCATTTTCAAAACAGTCCTCTTTTCAATACATTTTCAGTCCCCCCCCAAAAGTCCACCCCTTTCATGCCTTAATACTTCAGTCCTGAGACCTGTGGCCTAATACAAACCCCCCAACAAGCCATTTATACAAAAGCCTTAGTTTGCAAGTGCTTGTACCAATATTAATTCTTACAAATACTTGATCCTTGTAATAGCCCAATTAGATACTCAAGGTTAATGTTGTATCTAGATTTTACAGTTACAGCCAAAAGATACATAGCTAAAAAATAGCATGGCCAGCCTGGAACTCAAAATTTCAGATTCTAAATTCACTACTCTCTCTACTCAACTTATAAAGCTACTACTTCTTGAATATTCTTTCTTCATACCATTTGTTCACAAAACATGGCAAGAATCCTCTTTGAATCTTCTAGTATCACTAGAGCACTGCTATAAAGGACAGCTCCTCCCTACAGTATTTTCTAGGATATAAAAACAATTCAACCTTAAGACAGTGAGACCAAAAGTTACTTTCAATGGTCCTGCACAATCTTCAAATAAGAAAGAATTCTGGGATGTTGCATGAAAAGAGCCCAGAGGCCTCAGCCATAGTCCTTCCATATCCTTCTATATATTTGTCCACTTATGCCCACTTTCCTCCTCCCAAGAGTTTTCTTCGGTCTGACATCTCAACAAGGACCCTTCTTAACCACAAACGACCCTAGTTGCCAAACAGATTTGTGCCTACAGCTAAGTCTTTCTCGTCAAGCACGGCAGAGGTTCCCCGGAAGGTTTAAGAGTGTCTCCACTCTCGGTCTACACCCCTTGTCTGAAAAACTTCATCTTCCAGAGCCCACACCTTCTCGCCCCCCACCCCCACCACCCCACACTCACCCTTGCACCTCCTCCCAAATCTCCCAGGCTCCTGGGTTGGCGGGCAATACTTCCTATCTCTCCGGGCTCGGATCGCCCGGCCTGCAGCCCGCCGCCCGCCGCTCCGATCTGGCCCCAGCAGATCACGGACCGGTCTGGTTCCCCAAGCCAGAGGCCCACCAGCCTGGTCCCTGCCCCGCCTCCCGGCCCAAGGCGCCAAGTCCTCGGGGCTCCTTCTCCAGGCCCCGGCCGGACTCCGAGGGCCCCGGGCGCTGCGGGGAACACAAGAAGGAGGTGGCAGCGGAGGTCAGGGCACGGGGCGGGCCAGGAGCTCGGGCCGGGAGGCCCCAGGCCCGGCCAGCTCCCGGCTCCCGTGGCCCGGACTCAGCCCTCCCGCTCCGCCGGCCCGCGCCTCCGCGGCCTGCCCTCACCTGATCGAGGTTCTCATCGCTGCCGCTGTCCTCCGTGTCCGAGTCGATCACAACGCGGCCTTTCCGCTTCTTTACCATGGTGGTCCCCCGGCTCCCACGCCGGACGCCGCCCGGACTCCCCTCTTGCCCGCCTGCCAGTGGGACCGCCACTGCCGCCGCCGCCGCCGCCGCTCGACCCACACAAAGGCGACCGCGCATGCGCGCTCCGCTCCGCCCCTGGCCCCGCCCCCCGCTCGTCGCACGCCGTTCGCCGGCGCCCGGCACCCCGCCCTACCCCACCCCCGACGCAGCGTGGGAGGCGGAGCCCCGTACAGGGCTGGGTTCCGGGCAGTGGACAGTTGTCCCATACCCTGCGTGGGCGCCGGGAAACCTTGGGTGTGTCTCTTCTACTGGCCCGAAGATTGGTGTGCTACGTATCTATCGTGGACGGGGCCTGCGAGCATCTGGGTCCTCTCTGACAAGTCTTTCAACTGGCCCACACTGATTGAACGTCAGGGCGATGTCAGGGACCTCCCGCCTGGAATACACACGTTGGCTGGACCATCTTGAAGGCATCCGTCGGGGATTAAGCCTGCCTACCTGGGTTGTGCAAGTGACACCTGTGCTGGAACCTGGAGGATGCATCCGAGTTACCCAAAAGAAGACTAGAAGGAAAGATGTTCCAAGCAGAGAACCGCGTGGACAAAGGCCCGTAGATAATTGAAAAAAAATTGGGTTCAGGGACAAAGTTCATTATGGAACACAGAATATGATGTATGTGGAGGAACGCAGCGGCCACATTATTCAGTGCCTAATAAGCTATAATCAGAATCCTGAACTTCAGTATTGAAAATTTTTAAACTGAAGGATGACGTTATTAGATTTGTGTTTTAAAAAGATTACTCTGAACGCAGTTTGATGAATGAATTAGAAGAGAGGGAGCCTAAGGGCTAGGAGACCACTTAGGCTGTTGGAGTCATTATGGCAAGAGATGATGGTGCCCCAAAGTAAGGAAGAGGCAGTGGAAATGGAGAGAAGTGGATGGATTCTGGATAATTTGGAAGACAGAATTCCCAGGAATTGAATATTAGTTGGAAGAGGGGTAAGACGAAGTCCAAAACACAAATAATGCTTAGAATTTGGCTTAGGAATCTAATCTTCGTGATGGTGAGTGGGTGCTTCATCAAGATAAGGAACTTAAGTGTAAAGGAGGTTTGGGAGACTGGTGTATGCAGGAAATAAGTTCAGTTTTTTACCTGTTGAGGTTAGCTGATTAAAAGGACAACTTCAGAGACACCTGGCTAGGTCAGTAGATAGAGCATGCGACTCTTGATCTTGGGGTTATAAGTTTGAGCCCCATGTTGGGCAGAGAGATCACTTAACAGAAAAGGGCAATTTCAGAAGTGATTTCTTTGTGGGATTTTGAATATAGGGTAGAGAGCATAAGCAATAAGAATTTGAAAATGTTCTCAAAACTTTTTGGGAGACCATTAATTCTTTATTCTGGTAGTGAATTTAGGAGGTAGACCCCAGTCTTCTCTAGGCATTACTGGGCACAGGCAAGTTGATGAATCCTTGCTCTCTGGCTCCCTTTTTCTTTTCCCTTATACTGTATAAATTTTATTTTCTCCCATAAGTTACAATACATGTCACAAACATGCATGCTGTAAAGTGATAGTAAAAGAAAATATACCAGACTTAGAGGAATCCCTGGAAGTAAACACATACCTAGATGTCCAATTTGCTTCCAGTTAGCTTGAAAATGTGCTCAGGATTAAGGTAGAGAAAACAACCTAAGGCCCAATTACCTCTTTACTCCAAAAGATTTTTAATAAGATATAACCCCTAGACCACTCTCCTCCAACATATCCTTGGAACTGAGCCCATGACCAGAATGACTCGAAATGACCAGGCTAGTTTCTAGCCACCCTGAATTTCGGCGGCTTTCTGTGAGGACCCTCTTTAAATGTGTTAATAGAAGAAGACCAGGAGCGCCTGGGTGGCTCAGTTGGTTAAGTATCCAGACTTCTGCTCAAGTCATGATCTCACGGTTCATGACTTTGAGCCCCACACATAGGGCTCCATACTGACAGTGGGGACCCTGCTTGGGATTCTTTCTCTGCCCCCCTCTCTTTCTCTCTCTCAAAAAAATAAACTTAAAAAAAAAAGTCAACGTCCCTTGACTGCAATTAACAAACATATGTTCTAGGGCACCTGGCTGGCTTAGTTGGGATAACCTGTGGCTCCAATCTTGAGTTCATGAGTTCAGGCCCCATGTTGAGTGTAGAGATTACTTAAAAACTCAAGAAAAAAGGGTATGTTCTTTCTTTGAGTGAAATCTGTTGATTTGAATCTTTCTGTGAGGGATCTTCTTTTTTTTCTTTTAATTTTTTTAATGCTTATTTATTTTAGAGAGGGAGGAGAGGGGCAGAGAAAGAGGGAGGCAGAGAATCCGAAGCAGGCTCGGTGCTGACAGCAGAGGCTCAGCGGGACTCAAACTCAGGAACTGTGAGATCACAACCTGAGCTAAAGTTGGATGCTTAACCAACTAAACCACCCAGGTAGCCCTTCTAATAATTCATGGGCTGGAGTTGGTCCATATTGAGCCTAGACGGTGTCTAAATTGAATGAATAAATATGCTGTGCTCTAAACTTCCTCTTCATTTGGTTCCTGGAGAACCCAACCTGTGAAAGTTTTCCCTCAGTAAATGAGAATAATGATAATACCTGCCTCTTTGGGTTGTAATAAGGTTTAGATTAGTTAACATATGTAAAAAAGTGCTGAGAATACTTCTTTGCATCAAGTAGGCCCTGGCATAGAGTAAGCCCTCAATAAATGTCAGCTAGAATATTTTTTCCTGATTGTAAAAATTATTCCTACTGGGACACCTGGCTGGCTCAGTCCATAGAGCATGCAGATCTTGATCTCGGGGTCATGATTTCAAGCCCCACGTTGCGTGTAGAGATTACTTTTTAAAAAAGTATTCCTACTGGGGTGCCTCGGTGGCTCAGTTAAGCATCCTGAACTCCGCTCAGGTTATAATCGTACAGTTGGTGAGGTCAAACTCCACATCAGGCTCTCTGCTGTCAGAGCAGCACATCAGCTTGCTTTGAATCTTGTGCT